GGGAAGCCCGCCACACAGAGACGTTCGACGCTCGTGTGGAATGGTTGGTTCAAAGCCTCTTGTTACAGTATGTGCTGGAAATCGCTCGGATTCTCACGTGGCGCCTTGGCGAGCTGGCGTCAACTAGATTTTGGCTCCAAGAATCCCGCAAAATGGGAGTGCAACCGACATCGCAGACCAAGTGTTGCGAGTTCTAGGGTTACCCCAGAGGCTCGCTTGGATTGCGAAAAGTGGGCGAGGTAACGAGGAGCGAAAAGTGCTGTGAGCCTGACTTTGTTGGATGGACTTCGTCGGTGGACAATTTCACGACGTCCACATGATAACGGATGACGTTGCGCGCCCAAAAAGGAATGCAGCGCGCTGACGTGCCATTTATCAACAACCACTAATTCCCCTCAAACGGAGGTTTGACAGACAAGTAGCTACTTGTCCAATCGGATCACACGGCTGGTGCAAAAGTGCACTTATTTGAAAAAACACTCCTTACAGGCGTTCGCCTGTAACTTCACAAACAGAAGTTACAGGCGGAGAGCAGAATAACAGAATAACTTCACTCTTGTGTCGCCGGGTATGACAAACAGAATAACTTCAATCTTACTACCAGGTGGAGAGCAGCCTTGTAGGCGAAAAAATGCATGGAATTCAACCTCGTTTACTCAGTTAGCTTGGTGTAAGACACAGTGCACGACACATAATATGGTCCTGCACAAGTAATCACTCCGAGCCGGCATTATTTGAGCCCCCTTATTTTGGTACACATTCGTTAATGTGAAGCCCCAACTTGAAGTGATGATCCTATGTTAGAACGATGTCATCTGGATTAGTATAGTGCCTCCTGCCTGTGCTCCGAGCTGCTTCCACAGCCACTTCCCCGCCTGTGCTTCAGCCCAAAATGCAGGAAGTGTGTTAGAAATCTTCAAGCTGCACTCCCTTAGTTTAGGCCCTTGGATTGTACTTCATCACAGCCACATGTGGCATCATTACAGATCCCACCCAGAGTGTGCCATTCCGCTCCTCCACTTCACTCACAGCCTTGACAGCGCGTCCCATGTGATCCTCCAAAACGTCTGTGATTCGTCCATCACCATCCACCTCCACCACCAGGCCATGTGGCCACCCGACCATAACGCCATAGATGATTTTGATGTCAACTGGAAGCGACATGACGAAACTCCTCAGCCATGGTCGTGGGGCGAAGTAATCTGCAAGGGGAATCCGCAAAAGGAATACATTAATCCTTGATTGAAGGCAAGCAAGGAATAGTAGGCATCTCAGGATTCACGATACTTACCAATAAGGGGGCGCCTCCTCGAATGCATGGCTACCCAGAATCGTCCGCGCGGGTTTAGTCTGATGTTGTCTGGCGAGCCGGGTAGGTCAACGAGCACCTCCTGAGTCCCCTCCTTCGGACCCTTCAACCAGTAACGGCTGCACCTGCAAAATCGATAAGAAAAAGGACATAGTGACAAAGCTTGTAAGCACCATTTTTGCAAACGACAGGGTGCGATATCATGCTTGTGGTCCGTACAGCGGAGATAACAGCGAATACCATAAGCTTACCTGAAAAGGACTGTCTCGCAGAAAACAAGGAACGACTTGTCCTCAGAAAGTGCAAGGCCGTTGGGGAAGACGAGATTGCGGAGTAACACAGTAACCCGACGTGTAGCAAGATCCACTTTCATCAGGCGACCGTCAGCTTGGCCTTCGGTGGTCGCCACGACAAAGTCCCGTCTTTGGTGCCGTGTGCTCGAATCAGTAAAATACACTGTTCCATTTTCGTTATCCGCGTCAATAGCCACGTCATTCGCAAACCTCAGCTTTCGACCCTCCACGTGATCCACGACAACTCGAGCCTTCCCGCCCTTCTTCCCAACCTTGTAAATGCCGAAGTAGGCGTCCGCGAAAAAAAGCTCGCCAGTTACTGGATGAAATCGTAACCCCAACGGACGGCCACAAATGTGCTCCGTGGCTAGCTTCGGTCCGACTCGTCCCTTAACCGCGCTGCCTATAGAGGGGGCGGAGGCAATACTGCTGGATCCAACCGATCTACTATCGAGTTCCTGAGCGATGGGGCCCACGCTATAGTTCGCATGGTTAAGCGAGCCGTTGAGCGACGAACGGGTATGGATGTTGGACGCGTCGGCAGACGCCTCGACGGCTCCAGATAGATATGCGAGGGCGGAGGCGAATGGAGAGGGTTGCACTGGTGCGACGGGATCGCACAGTTTGGACGACCTGCGGGAGAGGGATTACGAAGGCTAAACATCAGTTTTACGATAAGACAAGGGGGCGTGACGTGATACAGAACTGATGGCCCCATTGCGAGAGTGGGTCGTGCCACGTACTAATGGAAAACAAAATGCAAACGCTTACCAGTGCGGCGACGCGTGTGCGAAGGTTTCCCATCCACTATCGTCCAGTGATCGTCGGACGATTCGCCCGTCGCTGACACCAGCGTACGGTCCTCGTCCCTCAAGGTCCCACGCCAGGCTTTCCGGGCCAAACACCTCGCCCGCGTATCTGCGCACCCAACATCGCAGATGGCATTGAAGAGACAACCTGAATAACAGCCTACCCCACCTAACTACACAGGCGATGTCACTAAGGCCATTGGAAATGCGCGGCGGCGATGAGCAGGCGCGCGACGGGAACCGATGTGAGGCTTGCAGCGGAACGAGGAAAGGCACCTGATATGAGCATTGGCGAGACGATTTGACTGGTCCGAGGGAATGGGTAGTCGACGCGGTGATAAGGGAATCGGCGCTGCGTGGAAGGGGAGATTGGCTATGGGTCGAAGTCGGAGCGGGTCTGTGACGAGGAAGACGAAAAAGGTGAATGCGAGCGAGAAGAAGGAAACGCGAATAGGAGATGATGGTTGCTGGTAAGCCGCTGCTGTGGCGGCCATTGCAGCTGCGACCATGCTTTTCAAAAATCTGGTGAAATCGCTGATCTGACAGGGGTGTGCGACGGCACCAAGATAGACTTGGAGTTTCGATGATAAGCGACGTGACTGATTGCGACGATGACCGACACGGTGGATTGGGGAGCTGCGACGGTGAACGACTAGAACTGACTGGGAGAATTCGAAAAAGAGGGGCTACCGATAATTACGGAGCTCGGAGTTCGGTCGAGATATTGAATGAATGCGACGATGGATAGAGCTGTAAATTTAGGTGAGGGCAGGAAGCAACGCGGGTTGCCGTCGTTGCGACTGCTGACGTGCAGTGCGACTCAGAAAAACATCGCTCTGCTCTTGAGGCGCGGAGCAGTGTGTTGAAAGCTGGATGCGGCTCGTTCGCAAACACGTCGCCCTCCAATCGCACTTGGTCGGTTGGTCCTCAAAATCATTCATCGATGGCTTAGGCCAAGCAAGTGGCTTGCGAAGCTTCTTGCGACAACTGGGGGAGGAGTTTTCCTCGCAACTAATCCACCAGGTAAAAACAGTGTCGCTGGGCGGAGAAGCTACCTTGGGTATGCGAAAGGCGTGTGACGGAGTGTCAGAGCAACACAACCATTCTGACAACAACATGAATTTCTGTCGCACGTCTTCGTTCAGGCTTTGCGACAGCAAATAGTGCTTCGCGTGGCTGGATACAGCACCTGTCGTCATGTGCCGTTGCGGCTCGTGGAGGTTGGAAGTAGTTTGACTGGGCAGCATTGCTTGGCAAGAAGGTACTTTACAGCTTCAACACTTAATAATTAACATATCGTATAACTAAAGTTGAAATGCTCTCTGGTCGATTGTGCTTGTCCCCGTTGGACGTGGATAATCTAGCATGCCAACATGAGGCACCACGACGGACCCCAACCAGAGCTTCCCATCTCTTTCTTCCACTTCACTCACGGACCTCACAGCACTTCCCAACCTGTCTTCTAGCACGTCTGTTATAGTGCCGTTTTCATCCACCTCCACAATAATCCCATTTGGTCGGCCCACAGACAGACGATGGGCTGTGCTGATGCTGATTGGCAGTGAGAGGAAGAGGGAGCGCAGCCAAGGCTTATGAGCCACCATGTCTGTCAAGGTAGAGGGAGATACAAGCACAATGGAAGAGAAAAAAAGAGGAGAGGCAATCAACGCCGAACCAACGTGTCAATCATATACAGCAAATTCCTTCAAAAATCAGTACGATGAAGAGAAACACAGGGTAAAGAAGGCATAAAGTGCTCAATGAGACACACAATCACAAGCATCACTCATCCATGACTGCCCATTCAAGCCATTACCGAAGAAAACCATACGATAACCGCACCACATGATTACTGCACCACATTATCACTGCACCACATGATCACCGCACCACATGATCACCGCACCACATGATCACCGCACCACATTATCACCGCACCACATTATCACCGCACCACATTATCACCGCACCACATTATCACCGCACCACATGATATTCACACCACACGATCACACCATCACCCACCCAGCAGGAACTTTCTTCGCGAATGGACGGCTATCCAAAACCGGCCGCGAGGATTCAGGCGAACATTGTCGGGCATGCCGGGCAGATCAACAAAAACTTCACGAGTCCCTGCCTTTGGACCCCTCAGCCAATAACGATGGCACCTACGAGGGGAGCATGGACATATAAACAATAGATGTGTAATACTATGTCATCGAGAGTAAGCACAGGGGTGTAAAGAATTCCATGCTGCCGTTTGCGCAGTGTTGCTACATGGTACATGCATGAGTTAACAAGAAGCCTGGGCACTTACCCAAGGGTGAACGTTTCAGTTTCACAAGACATGGGGACAGCTTTATCTCTAGAGAGCACAACCTCAACGCTTTTGCGATGATTCCGACAAACAAGTTACCTTAGGCGCCTTAAAATTTGAGATGGCTCAGAGATCCACTTACCTCAGAGTGGTGGTTTCGCAGAACACGAGTAAGGACTTGTCTCTTGAGAGCGCGGCGGCGTTGACAAACGCAGGCCCATCCACCAGCACTCCCGCCCGGGCCGTCGCTTTTGAAGTGCCAGAAAGACCGTTTACCTCAGAGTGGTGGTTTCGCAGAATACGAGGAACGACTTGTCTCTTGAGAGAGCGACACCGTTGGCAAATGCAAGCCCAACCACCAGCACTGCCGCCTGGCCCGTGGTCAGGTCCACCTGCAGCAGCCGCCCGTCCGCCCGCCCCTCCACTATCGCCACGTAGTAGTCCCTATGGCAGGCGAGGACAGCGAGAGATGGAGGCAGGGGAAGGAGAGGGATGGAATGGGGGGGAGAGAGGTAGGTCCACCTGCACCAGCCGCCCGTCTCCCTGCCCTCCACTATCGCTAGACCCTGTGGTGGTGAGTGGGGGAGACAGAATGAGTTGGAGGCAGGAGAGTGAGAGGGATGGAAATGGAATGGGATGGCAAGAAGCAGGTCTACTGGAACCAGCCTCCTGCTCTCCACTATCGCCACGTAGCAGTCCCGGGCGCAATGGAGGCAGGGGAAGGAGAGGAATGGGATGGGATGGGGTGGAATGGGATTGGATGGCATGGGATGGGATGGGATGGGATGGGATGGGATGGGATGGGATGGGATGGTGAGAGGCAGGACCACCTGTATCAGCCGCCCATTTGCCCTGCTCCTGCACAATCAGCCGCCCTCATCTCCTGTCTCACCAGCGATGGAAGCATTCGCCCCACTTCCGCCTCACCCAATCATCTCTCCCATCTCACCCGCACTGTTACTGCTTGCTCGTGTCCGACCCCCTTCTCTCTACCCTTCGTCTCACCGTTGCTGGAAGCGAGGGCTGGTGCCCCTCTTCACTTCACGAAATCACCCCTCTTTTGTCTTACCGGCGGTGGAAGCGAGTGCTGGTGTCGGTGAAATAGAGAGTGCCATTCTCGTCGCTGGCGGCAATATCAAGGTCGTTGGCGAACAGCAGCGGGCGGCCGTCCACGCGCGTCACCACAGGCTGCGCCAGCCCGCCCTGCCGCCCCACCTTGAACACGCCAAAGTACGCATCCGCGAAGAACAGCTCCCCCGTCACCGGGTGGAACCGCAGCCCCAGCGGCCGCCCGCATATGTGCTCCATAGAGGGGTTTGGGAGGGCTTGCTGGGATTGCTGCACCTGCTGCTCCTGCTGGGATTTCTGAGCCTGATGGGAATTTTGGGCCTGATGGGATTGCTGAGATTGCTGGATTTGCTGGGACAGTTGGTTCTGTTGTGATGACTCTACATTGGCAGCCTGTGCGGCAGGAGAGGCGGCGGTGTTTTGAGTCTCTTCTGAAGGTACGTCTGGGGAAGAGTGGTTCCCAGCAGGACCTTCCAACGAGCCTGGCACCGAGCCTAGCACCGAGCCTGGCACCGAGCCTGGCACCGAGCCTTGAACGGTGGTTCGGATGTGAGGCTGCACGAGAGAAACGTCGCTGGGAAACACGCCGAACGCGGTCGCCACTCTCTCCGAGGCTGGCAGCGTCGCTGCTGCTGCCGCCGCGTGCCTCCTTTCCATTGGTCCGAGCTCCTGCGACGTGGCAGAGCTGCTGCTGAAGCGCCGAGGGGCGTGCGTGTCACAGAGATCGGGCGTCCTGGAGCAGATAGAATAGAGGTGGGGGGGGAGAAGATCGAGGTGGGGAGAGGAGCGCGGCGTGGAACGGGAGCGAAGAGGCAAAACTGAGGTATGTCGGAATGAGAACAGCTCAGGAGTCCTGGCGCGGTTAGGATGGAGGTGGGGGGGGGGTGGGGGGAGGTGGGGTAGAAGAGCGAAGAGCGAGTTGGGGCAATGGGCGAGGTGGGGATAGGGATGGTAGTGAAGAGGCAGAGAAGCGGTACCACAGAAAGCAAACGGGCATCTGTACGGCACGGGTGGGTGGGTCATTTCAACAGCGTCAGCACAGCGCTCACCGAAGCGGCGATGCCCACGCAAACGTCTCCCACGCGCGGCCGTCGGCCGTGCGGCGCACGACTCGTCCGTCGCCCACGCCCGCGTACGGCCCCCTGCCGTCCAGGTCCCATGCAATACTCTCGGGACCGAACGCTTCGCCCTCGAACCTGCCATGTCACGAAGAACGATGGGTTTTTAGTCTCGTTAACGGCATTGCGTGCAGCCCCCTGCCGTCCAGATCCCACGCCAGGCTCTCGGGCCCGAACGCCTTCGAACCTGGCGTGTCACGGAGAACGATGGGGTATGTGTTGTAGTTGAAAGTTTATGGGCGAATGAGAAGGCATTGCGTGCGCCCCCCTGCCGTCCACGACCCACGCCATACTCTCGGGACCGCACGCCTCGCACGTCGTACGTGCCACGTCACGGGGAGCGATGGGTGCAGCCAGACCAGCAGAAGGTACACAATAAAGCATTGCGGTAAGGAGAGCGGTGATGGCCTTACATGATCTCGGCATCAGCGAGCCGATTAAGAGGGTCCTTGACGGAGCGCGGTGGTGGCGGCGCGATGTCGATGACGACCGGGTCGAACGGGAGGTGCGCCACGGGGCTCAGGCGCAGCGGATCAGCCAATAAGAGTGCGAGAATCGTCGCCGCGACGAGCGCGGGAAGCGCGACGCGCCAGTGGAAGGTCGATGCGATTAGGGCCTTGCCGCTCGTCGACTGTTCAGCTCTCGAGTAGTTCTCGGATCTAAATCTGTAGTGCTCGGTTCTAAAGTGGTGGTCGTTTTTAGCTCGGTGCTCCTGGTCGGTCAGCTGTGCTTTCTGATCCATGGCTGCCGTGCCCTCATTACTCCCCATTCGCGGTAGAGAAGCGATCCTTGATTCTTGAAACTATGGGGTGGCCCGAAATTGCGCCGTAAACGATATTATGTTGTTGGGAGCGCGCAATCTTGTGTTATCTGGCAACGCTGGCAGGGAGCTACGCGCCACCAAAAAGGTTCAAACCATGCGAGCAACACCAGTCAGTAAACACATAGCAGCTTTTGAGAATTCTCATAAGGTGCTCTAATCATAGGAGCAATCGCAGCCAGCAAGCAGATAGCAGCTCTTTCTATTAAATGAGTAGCCGTGCAGCTGAATAGCTGATTCTTCCGGCTCTGATGAAATGAAGGTGTCCGGGAAATAGTAGTGGAAAGTAGTGAGGTCGGCGTGCTGTGCAGGTGGGTAGATAGGCAGCTCAAGCTTGCCTGAGATGCGCTGCCTGGCTTTCACAACAAGCGTTTTTGTGAGTCAGCTTTGGTCGATGGTATACCGCCCGAAACCACTCGAAATCGTTTTGAATCAAACTTCGCCGTGCTAACCCTATAGGCTCTCAACTGTGGCCCCTGAAACTGCAAATCAACCCATCTCTTTCAGTTGTGGGCACTGGGCAGACCGTGAAAGAGCGAGAAAGTTGCTGGAGGCAGGAATTGGCGAGAGAGATGCGGCCGAGAATCTGGGAGAGGTGTGGTGTACAGTATAAACTGTAACTGGGCGCGAGGGTCGAATTGAATGGTTATTGCCTTCCCAAATAAAACCTGTGCCGCGTCGCAAGAGCCCTCTGACGCTGAACCTGACCGGGAAAAGTAACTCTGACACACACGCGCCCAGATTGACCAATGAGGTGAGGGTGCTTACCTGCATTTTTTCAGCAGCGTCTCGGGAAAGGGAACTACACTGTACCGCAGATGAAAGTGGAAGTACCGGATCGTAACGAAGCTGAGTGACTTGAAACTAAATTCTACAAAGAAAAATAATAACAAACCCCACTGCCATTTTCATATACATCCTCCAAAATGGGTAGGAAATACTTCATACAGGAAGACCATCACATATACTAGTATCAGGTACGACCTCGAATCTTACGCGCCTACCGCTTGTTGCCAAACGCCCCACTAAAGGCACCACTAAAAGTACTCGCAGCAGTTGCACCTCCCCCTCCAGCCGCCCCTCCACCCCCAGCCGCTCCAGGCTTTGCCGACCCGCTCGCAGTAGACGCCGAGCCAAGCAACCCACCACCAAACAGATTCTTATTCTGCCCGGAAGTCTCAAACCCGAACAAATTCTTCCCAACGTATTTCCCCAGGTCCTCGATTTTCCCAACCCAGCGGTCGCGGCGTATGGCCTCTAGAGCGTCTTTGCTGCTGGTGGAGAGGAGCTCGGGCTCCTTGAGCAGCGCCTGCACTGCCGGGAGGAACAGCGTGTTGGTCTGCTGTGGTGTCATCTCTGTAAGGGTGTGGATGGGTGGGGGGGGGTTGAGAGGGATGAGCATTGGAGAAGAGCTCTGGCTCCTTTAGATCGGGCTCCTTGAGGAGCGCCTGCACTGCTGGGAGGAACAGCGTGTTGGTCTGCTGTGGGTCATCTCTGCAGCACGCTTGGTTGGAGAGGGTGTGGATGGGTGGAGAGAGGTAGAGAGGGATGAACATGGGTATTGAATGAATGGAGGGTAGAGGAGGTTCCTATGATCCCTGGGAGCTGCAACTGTTGTGTGCATGAACGGCAAGAATTAACCTGTACCCGCGCGCTCACTGAATACCTGTGTTCGCAGCATGACCCCACTGCATCAATGTGTTCACAGCCTGGCATCAACCCACAGCAAGCAAGTGCTAACAGTATCACCCCACTCTACCTGTGTGCTCCAGCGCTCGCAGAGCAGAGCAGAGCGCCTCAGCCTTCTCCCTGCGCTTGGTAACGGTGCCATTAGCGAGCAGCGGGCCGGTGGCCATGCTAGCAACCTTCTGCAGCGAGTACTCTCTCAGCATACTGGAGGTGACTGGCACGGCAGCACCAGCTTGCAGACGTCATCCAGGCAGACGAGACAGTTCCCAAGTGCTAACGCATCACCCCAGTGTACCTGTGTGCTCCAGCGCGCGCAGAGCAGAGCAGAGCGCCTCAGCCTTCTCCCTGCGCTTGGCAACGGTGCCATTAGCGAGCAGAGGGCCAGTGGCCATGCTGGCGACCTTCTGCAGCGAGTACTCCCTCAATGTGCTGGAGGTCACAGGCACGGCGGCTGTGAGCGTCTTGAGCACCGCCACCACCGCCTCGTGTGACCCCTCCTCCAGGAACGAGTCCAGCTGCACCCGGATCTTGTCCACTATCTGATGAGATGGATGCATGGGGGCATGTGGGCATGGAATGGGCACAGGAGGATAGCACGCATGGACACATGGACGCACGTCAGTAGTGAGCGTCTTGAGAGTCCAGCTGCACTCGGATCTTGTCCACTATCTGATGGGATGGGCATGGGGAGGCACAAATGCATGGGTACATGGGGACATGCACACACGGATACAGAGCAAGGTGACTTGTGCTTTGACTCAAAGGCTAATGAGCCCAGCTCCACCTCACTCTATCCACGAATGCTGCTCACCGGGGCGTCCTTGAACTGCTGGGCCACGGAGCCCAGAGCAGCGATGGTGGAGTGCTTGACCTCAGGCACAGGGTCTGATCCCAACGTGATCAGTGCCGGTAGCACCTGCTGGCTCACCCGCTTCACGTCCACGAAGGGTGCCTGTGGTGCAACGTGGTTCGGGATGGTGCAGAGTGGTGTGGAGGGAGGTGAGGGAGTGGGGAGATAGATGGGCAGAGGTCAGATCAGTTCACGAAGAGCTGGCTGCATGTTCACAAAGAAAGCAAGCAAGAGAACAAGAGAGCGGTGAGCAACAGAAGAAAAGAGAAAGCAAGTCACTCACGAGGGTCTGGAAGATGACGGCAGCGGTGATGCGCACTGCTGGCGCCTGGTTGACCACCAGCTCCCACCCCACACTGCTCAACGTCTCCCTGTGCTCCTCGAATAGACTGCGGGGGTATGGGTGGGGGGAGAGACAGGAGGGGGGAAAGAGGGATGGAGAATTGAGGAGACATGGGGCGGAGGGAGGGAGGAACAAGTACAAGATGGTGCGAGTAAAAGGTTGTGCATTCATTCAATTCACAAGCTTGTGCATTCATAAGCTTGTGATATAAGTTTCGTATGTGAGTAAATGGAGGATGCACCCATCCTTGGGATGAGGTTCCTTTGGATATGGGAAAGGTCGTGTGCGGCAAGGAGGGATGGTATGCCACAGGAGCGCAATGAAAGAATAGCACTCATCAAAGGAAGACGTTTGAGTCGACTCCAATCTCACCAGAGGAAGCGGACGGCGTCAATCAGCTCAGGTGTGGATGCAGGAGACCAGGCGCCAGAGCGCGCACAGGTGGACACGACCCACTCGCGCAGGTACTTGAAGAGATAGCCCTCTCGCATGTTGGGTGAACCCAGCACACCCGCCAGCAGCAGCGGCAGCACACACATGCGGGACAGCCGCTCCAGAGGGGGGCCGGCTGGGCGCAGCACTGCGCATGTGGGGAATGGGAAGGTGTGGGGGAGGGGCAGGGCAGGGGCAGGGTGAGAAGAGGTTGCATGGCCGGCAGCAGCGGCAGCAGCATGCTGCATGCACCTGCCAAACAGGCGCTCGGCAATTTATTGACGCGTGCTTGAATCTCGAGGAACGAGCAGGTGCCTGCTGTGAGCGCCTGCATGCACCTGAACAGGACCTCACGCTGCCCGTACCTTCAATGGAGGATGCGATCTTGGGAGGGAGGTGGGAGGTGTCGATGGAGTGGCCAGCAGCGGTGAGGAAGACTGGCAGCAGCACTGCCATGAGGTAGAAACGCCCGAATAGCTTGCTCACCGTCAGCAGCAGCTGTTCAGGCATTTGGACGGAATGGCATGGGCAGGGAGACAGAGAAAGAGGGTTCCAAAGAGCTTTGAAGTGGAGATGTGAAAAAGGAGAGGAGAAGGAGGAAGACGGGCAGCAGCATACAGCCAGAGGAGAAGAGAGAGCAAGGAACACGAACGTGCATCTCCTGTAAAGCCACCGCTAGTGAGAGGAACACGCACCGTGCAGATGCGGACGCGCAGGCGCTCCTCCTTGGGTGGCAGCATGAGCGCCAGCTGCACAAGCGTGGGCAGGCAGTCCATTGGCATCCAGTCGAAGGCCGGCCAGTCCACCCCCGCACTGCCAGAGGGGGGAAAAGGAGGCGAGGAGAGGATGTTCGGAAGCAGGGAGAAACAGTGGGAGGTGGGTAAGTGAGAGCACTGCAAGAGGAAAGCTGCACAGCGGTAGGCAGGGAGTCTATATATATCCACACAAAATGCCAGCCATTCCACCCGACCCTTACACAAGCACTGCCAAAAGGGGAAGCAGAGTCAAACAGGAGTACTGGGAACCATGACGCAGCGGCGGGAAGCAGGAAGCAGCAGTATGAGCAGGAATAAACCCACCCATTACAGCATGACCCACCTGCCGTATCGCTTCAGCAGAGCATCAGTGAAGAAGGTCTCCTCGTACTCTATCCCACCCAAGGAAGCTGCCGACGGAAGCCGCCCACTCCCACTCCTCTGCCCCAACGCCGCATCCGACCCCTCTCCACCTGCCCCTCCCTCTGACCCTGCACCCCCATCACCCCCACCACCAGCAGCACCACCCCCAGCAGC